GACGTCATATTGAGCCCTATGGATTAGGAATGGGATGTCACTTACAGTAAGTTCATATACGAGGAAAGGCAGGTAGCAGTTAGACTTATATACCGCTTCATAGGGCTTTCAGCCCTCTCTAAGAGCTTTACAGAACCAGCATATTGCCCCCGCAGTCTGGGTCCTCATTTTACCCACCTCAGAAGGATGGAAGGCTGAGTCAACCTTGAGCGGGTGAGATTAGAACCGCTGAAGTGCAGATAACAGTCAGCTGAAGTGGCCTGCAGTACTGCACTCCTAACCACTGAGCCACCTCGGCTCTTTCCTTGTCCCTTACCTCTTGTTTCTTCACTGCCATCCCCATCCTCTTCTGTGTTGACAATGCTGATCTTCTTCACAGAGTGAAAAGTGGTTGCTGCGTTTGCTGCTCCAACGTGAATTGGGAAAGTGGTTTCCATCACCTCACTTCTCTGGTACGTGGCACAAGGTGGCACCTGGGACTGAACCTTTGGGACTTTCTCAGAGACTGAATCTTTGCCTGCGGACGGCCTGAGGCTGGCATAGGGCTCCTTGCTCTCCAGGGCCTGGGCCCTCTGAGGTCCGGTAGCTACGCTGGCTGCAATCTCCGGCTCCCTTTCCACTTGGACCACTCTGACGGCATCAACCCGAATGGGGGCCTCCCACTGCTGTGCACCTTCCCCCTTTGCTTCCATTGGACCCCCATCTCTTGTCGAGGTTTCTTTGTCTTTCTTCTCCCTGCCCTGGTGCTCCAGTTTCTGATGGGCAGCCTGGAGATCTTGAAGTGCTCTCTTCAATTGTGTTTCTAACACAGCAATTTTGGTGGATAAGGTCTGAATCGCTTGGCATTGCTGCTCCACTTCTGGGGGAGAAGGCAATCCCAACTCCTCCTCCTTGACTGCGACCCCTACGTCACATCTTCCCATGTTCACATTCACTTCTCCATCTTCGACTGTCCTTCCCACACCCACTGACCTCACTTCTTTCTTTTGCAATTTGCCCTTCGTGTCAGCCCTGTTCCTGCTGTCCTCCGTGCCTCCACCTACACCCTCCTCAGGGATGTCTATGTAGAGCTCCCCTCGTGGTTTCCCCTTGCCAAACCCTCCCGGGTGCCCCAAGAACTTCTGGCTCTTGAGCTGAACGCTTAGCTGCCTTTTCTCTTCCTGGAGCACCGAGATCTTCACCTGAAGGACTGGGATCATCTTGACCTGTTCTTCCAATTGGCGCAACTTCTTCAAAGCCACAGCCATCTGCTCCCGAACATATTGAAGATGTCCTGGGGTTGGTGAGACGGGAGTGGATAACCCAGAACCGATTGGTGTCAATTGTCCAGGAGCACCTTGGTGTGAGCTATTGTAAGATGTTTGTTGGGAAATACCCTGGCTTCCAACTAAGGAATTTGTTGATCCGGATACGCTACTGTGGAGGCTTCCTAGACTACTTGCTGTGGGGGTTTCCCCATCTAGGTCTGCCTGATCTTCTAACTTCTTCCTAGCATCCAGCAACGTTTTCTCCACGCGGGCATTGAAATTGCTGTGAATGGCATTCGTGTACTGTGGGTAGAAGCTACGGCCACAATAAGAATAGGAGGAATGGCGGCTGTCCATACTCGCGTTGGAACACAGAGACTCCGTGGATGTCCACCAGGAACCCGTGTAGCCATAGCCCCGGGGCAAGGAGTTGTAGCGTGGTCGCCGATGAACTGGGATGCGCTTAATAGTGTGGCCCTTCTCAATGTCATCCACATATTTCAGAAAGTCCAGATCAAGACGGTAGCCATAAGGAGTCTCCACCGAGTAAGTTAGGTCTTGCTCCTTCCCATGGAAGATTGTAGTAGCGGCTGGGTTGACCTTTCCTTCAAAACACAAAAAAGAAAGATCAGCTGATAACCCTTTTCTGCCGGGGTTGAGGATGTGCATAAAAGGACTGGCCACAGAAAGGCGGGGATCACCATGGCCTCGTTGGATAATGAATGTCTCGCATATTATGGCATGTATTGGCTGATCTCAGCATAGAGAGATGTACTTATAGACCTTGCTCCAATTGTCTCCTATTTCCATTCTGTGAGAAAAATTAGCTTAGAATCAGCTGTATTTTTTAAAATCTGCCTATTGCATCAAAATAGCTCTCCTCAAACAAGGGGGGACTAGTTTAAATCAAATAACAGAATAACAGAGTTGTAAGGGACCCTGTAGAAAGATCATCTAGTCCAACCCCCACCCAATCAGGAGACCCTACACCATTTCTGACGAGATAGCTGTCTATTTTTGAAAGCTTCCAGTGATGAAGTTCCCACAACTTCTGAATGAAATAGAGCAACCAGTCAATAGGAACGCTACATTTTCCCCAATTTTGCATTATTTGGATCTGACTGCCAGACAACAAGCCTCCTTGATTGATTGACTGCAAAGCTACATCTTAAAGAGTTTGATGCCTTTATTCTATAGTTTCATATCAAGTGTCACAGCATCTCATCCAACCTCAGTACTGACACAATATAATAGCAATAGCAATAGCAGTTAGACTTATATACCGCTTCATAGGGCTTTCAGCCCTCTCTAAGCGGTTTACAGAGTCAGCATATTGCCCCCACAATCCGGATCCTCATTTCACCCACCTCGGAAGGATGGAAGGCTGAGTCAACCTTGAGCCGGTGAGATTTGAACAGCCGAACTGCAGAACTGCAGTCAGCTGAAGTAGCCTGCAGTGCTGCATTTAACCACTGCGCCACCTCGGCTCTTGATAAGAAAATACAGCTTGCGTGTATAATGCTCCTCCATGTGTGGGCAGTTCTTGGTTCACAGGGAACTCTATGCCATTCTTGGGGGACCACAGATCTTTCGGCAGCCCCAATAACTATTTTCCATAGTCCCAATTATTAGTCCTAAGAACAATGATAAGGAAAAAAACATTGTTCTGTTCATTGTTGTTTGTTCCAAAAGGTGTTCAAATACTGGATGCTAAAAAAAATGTTAGCGCTCTGCTCGTGCACATAGAGTATTCCAGAAGAATACAAAGTGTTCCAGAGCGAGTGTATTTCTAAGATGCTGGATAGCAACAGGGAATGGATACTATTAGCTTTCTCTTCTTGTAAACTGACCTTAGATGCACTTCTTAAGTTGCCATATTTGGGCGTCTGGCTGGTTACAGAAGTCTAAATAGGACTTGGTTTCTTCTAACAAGAAAACAATTTCATTCTTTTAACCGAGACTTACTCCCAATCCCTTTTCTCTAATCCATAGCTTTAACTTTAACTCTTAATAAATTTATATGCCGCCCAATCTCGTAGGACTCCGGGCGGCTTACAGAAGCAAGTTAAAATAAGGAGTTAAAATAAAGAAGCAATTTAAAAAGAAACAATTTAAAAACAACGCACCATACGCTCAATCTGGGTGGGGCTGGACCTCATTCATGAAGTCAACAGGTAGCAGTAGCAATAGCATTTAATTTTATATACCGCCCCCATAGCGATTCACAACATTCTCTGGGTGGTTTACAACGCAGAAGCATTATTTGCACATTGCCTCCCAGCAATCTGGGTCCTCATTTTACTGACTTGGAAGGATGGAAGGCTGAATCAACCTTGAGCCTCACCAAGATCGGAACTCCAGGCTGTGAGCTGAGTTAGCCTGCAATACTACACTTTAGTTGCCAAATCTATGTAGCGTTTAGGGGTTCCTAGAATGAGATTTTTATTGACTACGAAATCTTAATTTAGTGATGTGGCCAGAATTATTTCCACTTGTGTCCCTCCCTTATTTTTGCTTTTCATCAGGAAACACTTTGATTCCCAACTTATATTTTGCAACTACTAATACACAGGTAGTTTTCATTTAATAATTTAGTAACTGTTCAGTTATGATGATGATGAAAAGTAACTCTGTGATCAATTCTTGTATTTACAACCTTTTCAGGTGTGTAAGGTAAAGGAAAGCTGAAGTGAGATCCAAAGCACAGTAGACGTTTCACTTAACAATTGATTAGCAGCTCCAACTGTGGTCACTAAGAGAGGACTACCTGTATTTTATAAATACTGTATTATATGACTAAATCCCAACTGTATTTACAGGCATCAAGTGGAAACATGTTTGCATACACAAGAAAGAGAGCTGTATCCCACTGAATCCTTCCCATGATACAAAATAAAAAGAACTTTCAGTGAGAATAATTCAAAAACTGAATGGGGCAATGTGATCTAAGATGACTATCTGCATTGGCACAAAGGATGCCCAGTGCCATCTGCTGATGCTCTCTGTTCATACAGACCTACCTGGGAAAGCAGTCCCCATATGCAGAACCTGGGCCATTCTTTCCACTCGATCAATATGCACGTTCAAAGCAGCCCAGGAGCCTTCTCACAGCTCGTAGGAAGCCCACTTTGCCTGAAAATAGAAATCAATGCCATCTTAATTCACATATTCTTAAAACAACCAGTCCACAATAAGGGAGCGTGGTTCTGCTTGCTGCTTCAAAAGTTTGTGAGAATGACTGATAGGAATTTGACAGTACTTTCCGAAACCAGGATACTTCCCTCTGGGATAATTGCTTCCACTTTTAAGCGAGTAATCACCACCAATTTTGTCGCACAAGGTAGGTGTCACATTGAACTCCAAAGTGGCACAACAATTCTTGATTTGAGTGTTTGCTATTCCCAACAAGGTTATTCCCACTATAATTATCTTCAAGTTACAGAAAACAAATGTTGCAATAGATTTGTTACGTTTTAAAGGCTATGCAATAAAAATGTGCAAAACTGAATAGCAATAGCAGTAGACTTATATACCGCTTCATAGGCCTTTCAGGCCTCTCTAAG